ACTGCAGAGAAAGAACACAATCAATAAATCAGTCAATCAAATGTATTTAATAACTGCTAAACTGTTGTCACTAGTCATAGACCCCCAAAGAGCAAGCAAAAGCAAAGTAGCCAGGAAAGAATCCTTAGATGGAACAGAGACCTTGTGAGGAACCAGACTCCAAGAGGAGGCTCATTCTCCTCTGGCTGTAACCCTGTAGTGACCCTTTCCCTCCCTATCGTGAAGACCCACTGTACAACAGAACAAGTAGGAAAGAAAAAACAATAGACTTGATGTCACTGTAAACTCCCAGTGCACACTAAGAAGTAAGAACACAGTGGTCAGTCAATAACAGAACCCCCGCAAAGAGTTACAGTCATCTGTTTTTAGATGAAAGCAGCACAAACATTTCCTGTCTGTTTCTCCAGAGGCGTTCTAGTAGAGGTCATTGTGCTGCTAGTCTGGCCTAAACTACAGTACAGTACAGTCCCCCCTCAGTCTGTTAATGTCTGTGTTCCAAATGGCACCCTATTCCCTATATAGTGCACTACTTTTGGACTGGGCTCTGGCATAGGGCTCTGGTCAAAGGTAGTGCCATTTGGGACGCAACCTATCTCTCTCCAGCATCTCCCTCATACAACCCTCCTTCTCCCCTTAACGTTCACATCCTCTTATGCATAATGAATCACTTGCAATCATTTACTGTAATTACAGTGATAAGAATCTCACCCAGTCAGTTGCATTTCAGCAAGTTAAACGGAGGCAATTTAAACACATTTATTTGAGAATACCATTAAAAGAATGAGGCATAGCTACAAAGGGCAGAGGTCAACATAGGGAGTTGTGGAGGGCTTTTACTAAGCTGTTTTTGGAGCATGAACATTACAGTAAAAAAAACAGTTTAGACTTTTTTTTGCACACAAACTGTTGTTTTGGTACTATGTGTTAACTTTGACCCTTTTGGCACTAATTCCCCCAGGTTGTGTATGATACTAATTATTCTCTGTAAGAATGCATGTAGACATACTAAATCCACGTAGTTCTGTGTAGGTCATTCTGACCTGAATTGAGCACGTAGTTCACTTTAACCTTCCTCTTTGGGACAAGCAATGGAAAGTCCCTTTTACAGGCTACATTAAACAGTTCCAGGTAGTCAAATCATTTGGAAAGATGTCTTTCAGTGGTGTCCAAAAAGTTGCTTGTATTTTTCTTTGTTGGCTTTGGTTTTGACTCCTGTGTTCCTGTGGCAATGGGTGACAGCTAGGGAGAGATAGAAAGAGACAGAGGAGGTGATAGGGGGTAGTGGCTATCGGAATACAGGGTAAGGGTAGGGGGGAGTGTCGGCCAGCTGCTGTGGGCCAACAGGTGGTGAGCATTAGTCCTGGTGTGTTGTGCTGTGGTGTGAGGGGACAGGACACACCCCAGGGCAGAGGACTGAGGGTAGTCATGGTCTGGGGGGTTATTAGGCCTAACAGGGGGCATCATCAGAGGTGCTGTAAACAGGAAGTTCTTAATAGCTCTCATCCCACCTCGCCAAAACACATGCCCTGTCACACACAGACACGCTCACACACACCAGCCGCCAACATGTCAAACACACCACTGTCAACCTGCTTTATTGGGTAAATTAGTGATCCTTCCAGGCCGTACGGATCCAGAGACCACTATACTATTCCAAACCTACGGACGTAAAAACTGTAGTTGTATACATGGTGTGTGTGCGTGTAAAAACTGAAGTCTTACGTTTTCAAACTATTACGTTGCTGAGGTGCCGAGTCGTAAAACAAAAGGCATATGTGCTTAAAGAGCTGCAGGACACAGAGGGACTCTGGCTGCTCTATGAAAACTAGCTGTAGAGATGTAAGAGATATTTATGAAAGAGTTGGCAAAAACAACAAACGGTCCTTAAGGAATGTTCCTCTATGAAGCTAATAAATAAATGTGTCATGTATAATTAGGCGTGTTGAGAAAGAGGGGGTTTGTCTCAGGGGAGGGGGGAAGAGAGGGAGTAGAGGGGGAGGAGAGAGGGGGTGGAGTGGGGAGAGGGTTGATAGCCTAATACGGCGGTGGGTTTATAGTTCTCTTTAGAAAGGTTCGGGGTGGATTCAGATTTTCCTTGAGTCTAAAGGCTCTTTCTCTCTGCCTGGGACTGGGCTGGCCCATTGTGGAGCCGCCGTGTTTGTGTGTGTGTGTGTGTGCGATGCAGCGGTCCTATTAATCTCTGCTCGCCACAGAACTGAACCTCAGGGGAGATGTGCTTATTAATGTGCCACTTTATAAAGCAGGAAACAAAACAGGGTACCGCTCGCAGCCTGGCAAGGCTGGCGCCTGCCTCCCCCCTCTGCACCTTTCCCAAAAGACTGCCTCCTACCTCCTACCCTCCAACCCCTATTACCCAGACATGGTGTCAACCGCTTTCCAAAAGACTGCTTCATACCTCCAAATCCTCCAAACCCCACCCCTATACCACCAGACAAACTGTAGTCATAACCCCCCAAACCCAAACCCATCACCACACGCCCCTATCCTCAGACAGGGTCTCAAACCCTCTCATACGTTATACCTCCAACCCCAAAATCCCCATCCGTACCCACCCCTAGACAAACTGTAGTCTCTCCCTATTCAATTCAATACAACTTCATTTTTTCCCTTAAGAGTCCCTAGTTTATGTGTTAGTCAACAGTGTGTGCATGGGAGCAGCGTTTGCTCCTCTAGCCTTGACCTGTCACACCAAGGATACACTCCTCCTGGGCCCCCCGTGTTAGAGACACAACGCACAAGGTCATTGTTGCGTCTGCTCTGCTAGAGGTCACTCAGGCAACACAAACACGGCGATGGAGTGTTTTATAGGTGGCGGGGCTCTAATTTAGGGGTACGTCAGGTTCTGGCAGCGGGGAGTGAGAAACCAGATGTTCTATGAGGTGGGATACGCTGCGGGGAGGTGGCAAAGCGCTGGCGGAGAGATATGTCCTGTTCTTTAGGTCTAGGACTCTCTCTCTGGGAGAAGAGCAGAGCACGGGGAGGTTTGGCTATAATTGGGGGATCTGGACTGATATATAGGCTCATAATTACATGCACTTCAGTGCACATTCACCAAAAAACAAAAAGGGGTCTGAGCAATTATTTTAAGCATCTGCCTTGCTGTTTTAATTGAAATGGCTTTGTGGAAAATCAGAAAACTCTAATTGGAGGGTAGTTATCCCTATAACTGCCACCCGTCCCCCCGTCCCCCCCCCCCCGCACACACCAACCAGCCCTAAATCTCCCGAATGAGAGTTGGCACAGGTTCCATACACAGCACAGCACAGCACACAAAGGTAGTCTCCCTTTGTTCAGTGTAACATGCTTTAGAGGCCTGTAGCTAGTAGTTAGCCTGAGAGAATGCTATTACAATGGGATGTGGGGTCTATTTAAATGGGATCAGGAGAACCAGTGAAGCCCTGTGGAGGGCCTGGCTTTGTTGGGTCATTAGTTAGGAGTGTTGATTCACTACAGCCGCTGCTCTCTGGCTCTCTCTCTCTCTCTCTGGTCTCTCTGGTCTCTCTCTCTCTCACTCTGGTCTCTCTCTCTGGTCTCGCTCTCTCTCTTGCTCTCTCTCCTGCTCTCTCTCCCGCTCTCTCTCTCTGGTCTCTCTCTCTCTGGTCTCTCTCTCTCTGGTCTCTCTCTAGTCTCTCTCTCTCTCTCTAGTCCCTCTCTCTCTCTGGTCTCTCTCTCTCTTGCTCTCTCTCCTGCTCTCTCTCTCCCGCTCTCTCTCTACCGCTCTCTCTCTCTCTGGTCTCTCTCTCTCTCTCTCTCCCTCTCTCTGGTCTCTCTCTCTCTCTCTCTCTCTCTCTCTCTCTCTCTCTCTCTCTCCCTCTCTCTGCTGCTCTCTCTCTCTCTCTCGCCCTCTGGTCTCTTTTGCTCTCTCTCGCTCTCTCTGGTCTCTCTCTCACTTTCTCTGATCTCTCTCTCTCTGGTAGTGCTGAGCAATTATCGCCTTTTGAGGTCGGTTTGGTTTCAGTTTGATGATAAAAAATTATCATGATTTCGGTTTTGATTATTTTTTAAAACATTGAATGCACTATGCATTATGTGGGTTAAATGCTGTAACAACACAGAATAAAACAATTAATAAAAGTCCCATGATGGTAGTGACGGCCCATGTGTGAATAACCATCAGTTATTCACATTACTTTACTTAAATACAATATTTCAGTTGTTGTGTATATTACATTTGTTTTATTTGATGACTTTATTATTTCATTCCAAGTCATCTCATTTCTATAGAGCTGCTGCCTATGCTGTTGGACAAAAATCTAAATTTTTGTAATTCTTCAAAGTAAATAAGGCATACTTTTATGACTGCTGAACACCAATACCTTGCGAAGCAACTGCTCTCTATGTATCCCCTTTTGATCGCGAATTATTCTGTCTCGTACGTAGCAGGTGTAAAAGAAACACAGACCGGACAAGTAGCTGCGCAATTGATTATGGTCATTGTAGTTAATTATCACATTTTCTGCGTTAACTATGTAGAACATTGGCCTGTTGGAAACTACAACTCCCTACTACATTGCACAGTTCGGGCATGATCTGATCTATCTCTAGAGAAACTGCAGCGCAATGTGCACACTGAGCACACAGAAAAAACTGAACGAAATGGAATTTAAAAAATGTAACAGACATCAGTCAATTAGTTGTTTACAAAACAAAAGATAACCGACATTTCGGTTAATCGCTCAGAACTACTCTCTGGACTCTCTTTCTCTAGTAGAGTTGCTATACAGTGGTTCCACTACCTCCACTGCTCTCTGTCTCTCAGATGACCCCAGACTGAGATGAAGCATGCAGGCCCAGGCGTTGATCTTCCGAGGCGAGGGAGAGAGGGCCAGCGCGAGTCCCAATCGCCTCCCTGAACTACACCACAGCCTGGGTACCAGCCAACCAAGAGCCCCAGCCCAGCCCAGCCACCTCAGCTCCACTCTGCTCTCCTCCGAGTGGGGAGGAATGTTTATTTTCCCTGGTAAATCTCTCTAATACCATCACTGCACATTTTATTAGAGGGGGCTCGCTGCGATGATTCCCCTGTGAGCCCCTAGTGTCCTGCTGAAGCCAGACATGTGTTTGTGTGAGCACGCACACTTCTGCTGGGTGTTCATACAGTAAGTGTTTGTGTATCTAGTCAAACCAGGGGGACAAGACCCCCCTCCTTCTCTGTCCCTCCCTCACCCCCTCCTTCATCCCCAAATACTAAGATCTCTTTTTCCTCTGGCTAGATGGCAGACATTTATTTTGGCAGCAGCTATTGTCATGGGACCTTCAGTTTATTTTCCCGCCAGCAGGCTCCTCTACGGTTAGTTCTCTATGACCCCCCCCCCCCCGTAATCTGTAGGACTTGTTTAAGTTTTACACTGAAACACATTTGCTTTGTGTCAAATGTTTAAAGAACCTAGTCAGTTCTTTCAGATCAGTGCAATAAAGGAGAAGTGAGGAGACAGATTGTTTAGACAAGTGAAAAAGCTTTTCCTCGTCCCCTTGGTTTGCTGTATGTGTTCTGCTGGGTACCGCAAGTTTGGCCCACAATCAGGCTGTGTAACAGCATATTATCCCCCCTTGGTTTGGCCCACTATCAGGCTGTGTAACAGCATATTATCCCCCCTTGGTTTGGCCCACTATCAGGCTGTGTAACAGCATATTATCCCCCCTTGGTTTGGCCCACTATCAGGCTGTGTAACAGCATATTATCCCCCCTTGGTTTGGCCCACTATCAGGCTGTGTAACAGCATATTATCCCCCCTTTGGCCCACTATCAGGCTGTGTAACAGCATATTATCCCCCCTTTGGCCCACTATCAGGCTGTGTAACAGCATATTATCCCCCCTTGGTTTGGCCCACTATCAGGCTGTGTAACAGCATATTATCCCCCCTTGGTTTGGCCCACTATCAGGCTGTGTAACAGCATATTATCCCCCCTTGGTTTGGCCCACTATCAGGCTGTGTAACAGCATATTATCCCCCCTTGGTTTGGCCCACTATCAGGCTGTGTAACAGCATATTATCCCCCATTTGGCCCACTATCAGGCTGTGTAACAGCATATTATCCCCCCTTGGTTTGGCCCACTATCAGGCTGTGTAACAGCATATTATCCCCCCTTGGTTTGGCCCAGTGATATGCTGTGTGCTGTGTTTGTATTAGGCCGTGTTGTCTAAGCCTGTGGTTAGTTACTGACAGATGTATTTATTTACGTGTTCATCCGCCCAGGGGCCCATCTCTTCCCCTTATCTATCAGAGATCACTCATAACATAACACGTCACGTGCAATATATTTACTTTAGGTTTACAAAGGGCTTTAGGGAACGAGGCCCAACTGGCCTCTGCCTGGTCTGCTACTAGAGGGGGAAATTGGTCTTTGTTGGTTTAGCGGAGGCTGTTCTTTCAGCCTGCGTGTCGGCCCGCCCATCACATGCGACCAGATATGAACGCGTCAGAGCACGCGTTTGGCATGGACACACACTTGGCACGGCAGCGAAGCGGAGTGTTTCAGCACGGCCCACGCTAACCAACCGACCGACGGCAGGCAGGAGAATCTGTCAGTGTTTGTTTTGTAGGCCCTGTCAAAGCAGACTGCATGTAGACTACATGGCACCCATGTCTCAGTCAGTCACACAGTGGGAGGAGGAGAGGAGCAGAAAGCTACTGGCTGCATCCCAAATGGCTCTCTATTCCCCTATAATGTATAGTGCACTACTTTTGACCAGGGCCCATAATGTGTTCTTAGAGAAAGCATTACTACTTACTTATCTACTCCCCTTCACCCTCAAAAAAGGGACCCAAAAATGTGAAAGGATGCTCACTGCTCACACAGTCAGATTATTGTTCAGATTATTGACTGTTCTCATCAATTGTTTTACACAGTATACAGTACCATACATGGGCACAGGGATGCATGGTCTTTCCTGAGCAGTTAACTCTGGTAGACTGGACTGGACCGCATCAGGGTGACATGTTTAGTGTAATTTAACCATGTTCCTGAGAAAAAGACCTGGGAGAGAGAGTGTCTGGTTTATAGATCTGCTTAATGGCAAGCTGTACAATTTACAGTAAATCCATACATTTAGCCCTATGGAGCTACGAGGATACCAGACTTTCTTAAAACTTTACTGTACTCCCCGGCGCTGCAGAATTTTCCATGAACACATTTCTCTCTTTTATTAACAACGATCACTATTTTATAGTTCAACCTTAAACCTCTAAGCCCACTCTCTCATGTCTGCAGTACCAATAGGAATCACTGGGAGGGAAAATAACCAGCCATACTTTAACTTTGGGTTCACTGAGGACTCTGCCCTTGTGGTAGGTCCAGTGAATTTATTAGAGCATAAACTGATTTTGAAATATGCATATTCATTTTATTTTATCAGCGCAAAGCTTCCAAAACAAACGTTGGGGTCTCGATGCATATGTATCACCCTCTCTGCCGTTAAATGAGTCTCTTTATTCGCCAGGCCGTCTGCTGAGCCGCTGAGCCATTAGATGGCTGGCTGGGTCAATAGAGAGGCTGTGTGTGTGGAGCTGCTAGCCTCGCTAACCGAACTAACAGAGAGCCCCAGGCCCGAGACTGCCTGGACGTTGACCACATCAAACCCAGCCAGGAGAAGGAGAGTACACCAAATAAACCTGCCAGGGGGGAGGCGAGGAAGAGGTGAGGGGGGAGGCAAGGGGAGGCGAGGAGGAGGAGAAGGCCCAGTGCTGTGCTGTGTGAGTCGGTGTCTGTGGGTGTCTGAGCAAACAGCCTCCCCAAACAAC